GGTAGGGGGCGGGGCTTCCCTGTAAAGAGGCGGAGCCGAGGGGCATTAGAAAGGGACCCCGGAACGAGGGGCTCCACAGGTCTCCGAAGGGGCGGAGACAGGGCGGAGTTTCTGTAGGGGCGGAGCTAGAGGTAAAGGGAGGGGTTTAGCTCTGAGATGGGGTGGGACTGAGGCGGGGTTAGGAATTAGGGGCGGAGTCTTGAAGTGAGAGGCGGAGCCAAGTTTGACAAACAGGGCATAGGCTGGGGGTGAGGGGTGGGAGCGGCTGTGCTGAGTCTAAGGAAGGGGCAGAGCCGGACCAGGTAGGGGGCGTGGTCTGGTGGTGGGCGTGTCCTATCGAAGGGAGGGGGACGTAAGAGGCGGAGCCTGGGCGAGGGGCGGGGCTATATTCATTAAATGGGTGGGGCAGGGCCTGGAAGCCTAGAGGGGCCTGAGCATCCTGGAGAGTGGGCTGGAGGTAGGTGGGAAAATGGAGGAGTCCGTCTGCAAAGATGAGAAATGAGGGGCGTGGCCTTGTCGTACTGGGCGTGTCCAGAGCTGGTCAGGAATTCAGCTAACCACCTTTTTTTTTTCCTAAATTCATTTATTTATTCATTTTAATTTGACCAGAGAGAGAAAAAAAGGGAGAAGAAAGCAAGAAGCAAGCCATCAGGTCCAGGACTCAATCCACGGTTGACCCTGTGGGAATCTGACATCCCTAACGACCATATTTTAAAATATTTTAATGTTTCTCAAATGGGTTGTGACCTAAAATTGATATGCAGGCAAATCTTTAAAAAAAAAAAATGCATTTGTTTACACTTCCGTTCCCCCACCAAGCTGTAAGTACACCGGGGTATAACTTCCAGTTGAGGAAGCGTGACAGTTGATAGTTGTTTCTGATGAGAAGTCAGCCGTTTCACGCTCTTGGTTTCCAGTCACATACACCTGTTCAGTCATGCTTAGCATCACCCTGTTTAGTGGTCATGCTGTTTGTCTCTGAGATTTCCCTTACTGTGTGGCCGAGCGCCCCTTCCTCTGGTGTTCGGGGTGCTGTGGGGAGCACTGCCCTGGCAGAACGTAACACGTGTGCACTTCCATGCGCGCCCCGTCAGTTGGAAAGGCCGTGGTTGCGCTCCTCTTTCCTGCTTCATCCAGCGATGCCGGTTTCTCGCATCCCCAAACCCCTGCCATCAAATTATCTCTCATGCTCTACAAATGTCACCTCCCATCCCTCAAATCACTGACCCCAGGCCCTTCAAAGCCCTGCTCACACCTCCAAAGTCCTTTCGACCTGACTCAATGTCCACCAAAGCCAACGTCCTCAGACCCTCCCCAGGTTCCAGTCTCCCAAATATCCTTGGTTTCAGCCAGGGCTGAAAGTAACATTCAGGTCCTTCCTTTTTAAAAAATAATCTTGTTTAACTTTGTTTACTTATTTATTTTTAATTTGACCAGAGAAGGAGGGAGAGAGAAAGAGAGAGAGCGAGAGAGAGAGAGAGAGAGAAAGTGAGAAATCAAGCCACCAGATCTGGGAATCAAACCACAGCTGGCCATGTGGAAGTCCAGAATCCTTAACCACCATGCCACCTGCCAGCCACCACGCTACCTGGAGTCCTTCCATTTATTTTAAATAATCATTTTATTTTAACTTTATTTAAAAATAAAGGGTCCTGTTGCTGTCAGGAATGCTGTCTTTTCACCTGTCTGTCCCTCTCGCTTCTCTGTCTCTCTTTCTTATTAAAAATAAATAAGTAAACTTTAAAATACTTGGAAGGGGACCAGCAGATGGCATCAAGGTTACATCTCTGGACTTCCACGTAGTCAACCACGGTTTGAGTCCCGGTCCTGGCAGCTTAAAACTCATACTAGGTGCGTGCGTGCCCAAGGTCCCAAGAGGAAAATGGAAGAGAAGGGATTGTGGTGTGGCCATCCCCTCTAGGGGGTGATCTCTCATTTTCTGTCTCTCTCCGGTGAGCACTCATGGCCTACACCAAAAATCTCTCTCAATGGGGGAGGATGTGGTGGTTAAGGGTGCTGGACTCCCACATGGCTGACTATGGTTCGAGTCCCAGATCTAGCGGCTTATTTCTCACCGTCTCTCTCTCTCTGTCTCTCTCTGGTCAAATTTAAAAAAAATGAAGTTAAATAAAATAATTATTTTTTTAAAACAGTCAAAAAATAAAAATTTTTAATAATGAAAATATTCAAAAGAGGGCTGGGTAGTGGCATGGTTGTTAAGGTTCTGGATCCCACATGACCAGCGTGGTGGTTGAGGGCGTTATACTCCCCACCTGGCCGACCGTGGTTCAAGTCCCAAACCTGGCAGCTTGCTTTCTCACTTTCTCTCTTTGTTTCCCTCTCACACTCATTCTGGTTAAATTAAAATAAATAAATAGGGACTGGGAGGTGGCGTGGTAGTTAGGAGGCGCTGGACTCCCACGTGGGCACTGGACTCCTACATGGCTCACCATGGTTCAAGTCCTGGACCTGGTAGCTTGCTTTCTTGCTTCCTGTCTCTCTTTCTCTCTGGTCAAAATAAATAATAATAATAATAATAAATAAAGTTAAATTAAATAATTATGTAAAAAAATATATTGAGGAACAAGCAGGTGGCATGGTGGTTAAGGTGCTGGACACTCCCACATGGCCGACCATGCCATGGTTCAAGACCTGGACCTGGTGGCTTCCTTTGTCCCTTTCTCTCTCTCTCTGGTCAAATTAAAATAACTGAATGAATAAATAAAATTAAATAAATAATAATTTTAAAATATATATATATATATTGAATGGGTCAGCTGGTGGCATGGTGTTTAACGTGCTGGATACTCCCACGGGGTTGACCATGGTTCAAGTCCCGGACCTGGCAGCTTGCTTTCTCACTTTTCCTCTCTCTCTCTCTCTCTCTCTCGCTCTGTCTTTCTCTGGTCAAATAAAAGAAATGAATAAAGTTAAAAAAGAAATCATTCTTAAAACAAATATACTGGGGCCAGCAAGTGGCATGGTGGTTAAAGGCGCTGGACTCCCACATGGCTGACCATGGTTCAAGTCCCAGACCTGGTGGTTTGCTTTCTCACTTCCTCTCTCTCTCTCTGTCTCTCTCTGATCAAACCGGAAAATAATAATGATCATAATAATACATAAAGTTAAATAAAATAATTTTTTTAAAAAAAGAATGTACTCAATACATGCGTGCACAAGCCGCTCATGTTCCGGCAAGCTCCGCACACACACACCCTCATGCATCCTTGGTCGGCCCGTCCCACGAGCCTTTGTTCCCAGTGAACCAGAAACGTCCATCAAATGCCACTCAGCATGACCACCTGCTCACACGCCCGCCACACAGCCGGCTGGAGCCCACGGCGTCCATATGTACACACGCTGCATGCACACCCAGATGGGCCCCACATGTCAGACACACAGACACACAGCGGACGAGCAGCCAGGACTCCGCAGGCTCCCGGCTGGGTGCACACGGGGAACATGCTGCAGACTCACGGGCGTTGGGACACCCAAGATGGTTCGAGATCGCACGACAGGAGATAGCTGGAACAGGCCTGGAAGGGAAATTACAGGGAAGATGGAAAGGGGAGAGGATTAGGAGGGAGGCCATAGGAGATATTGTAGGACAAAAAGGGCTTTTGAGAGACCAGCAGTTGGCGTAATGGCTATGTCGCTGGACTCCCATGTAGTCGACCGTGGTTCGAGTCCCGGACCCGGTGGCTTAAACTCACACTAGGCGTGTGTGCATGCGTGCCCAAGATCCCGAGAGGAGAATGGAGGAGAAGGGATTGTGGCATGGCCATCCCCCCTGGGGGGCGAGTTCTTGCTTTCTGTCTCTCTGTCTCTGTGTGGCGGGCGAGGGCACGTGCCCTGTAGCAAAAATATCTCAAAAAAAAAGGCTTTTGATTTATTGATTTGAAATATCTCATTTTATTTACTTATGTATTTATTTATTGTTTAGAATTATTTATTCATTTTGGGGACCAGCAGGTAGCCTAGTCATTAAAGTACTGGACACTCCCACATGGCCGACCATGGTTTGAATCCCGGACCTGGCGGCTTGCTTTCTGACTTTCCCTCCCTCTCTTTCTGGTCAGATTACAATAAGTGAATAAATAAATAATTGAATCTTTCTAAAAAATAATAATAATAATTTCTTTATTTAATTCCATTGGTTACTATTGTTTATTTATTTATTTGAATTGGACCAGACCGAGAGAGAAAGAGAGAAAGTGAAAGCAAGTCACCAGGTCCGGGACTCGAACCACAGTTGGTCATGTGGGAACCCAGTGCATTTAACCACCACACCACGTTCTGGCCCGTAAATTTTACTTACTTAATTATTTTTGTTGGGGGGAAAGAATTATTTATTTCATTTTATTTATTCATTCATTTATTTTAATTTGACCAGAGAGAGAGACTTGCAGAGAGAGAGAAAAGGTGAGAAAGCAAGCCACCAGATCTAGGACTCGAACCATGGTCAGCCATGTGGGCGTGTCCAGTGCCTTAACCACCACACCACCTGCTGGCCCCTATTTATTTATTTTCATTTGACCAGAGAGGGACAGAGTGAGAGAGAAAGAGAGGGAAAGTAAGAAAGCAAGCCGCCAGGTCTGGGACTTGAACCGTGGTCTACCATGTGGGAGTCCAGTGCCATTAAACCACCTCGCCACATGCTAACCTCCATTCATTTTTTTTTTAAAGAGAGATTTTTACTTTAGGGTCCATGTGCTTGCCAGAGAGGCAGAAAGAAAGAAAGTGAAAACTCACCCACTAGGAGGGATGGCCATGCCACAATCCCTTTTCCCCCATGCTTCTCTTGGGATTC